ATTTATTGATACTTGGTATTTACAATAGCAGATTTAAGCAATTGCAATATAGAAGGTATGGCCCACAAATCCTAAAATAATTGGCATCTGCCTGTTTACAGAAATTCGTCAACCACTGCTCAATTTCATTGAAAAGAACATTTATTTCCTCTGGGTCTCAAAAATAAAGTTTTAAAGGCTTGCAATGCATAAATGAAGAACCCATTAAACATATACCAATGCACGCTTGATTTACTAAGTGCTAAAGATACTTCAATTTTTAACATATATCCATATCAAAAAAGTCCTAAAATGTTTGAACACTGACATTTTCTAAGCATCTCTATAAAATAGGTACTAAAAGCACAGAAGATAAAAAAAAAAAAACACATAGAAGATAGATAACTGTAGTCTAGCATAAAAGATATAAAAATGCCTAATAATTCAAAAAATTCACCTATGCTCGTTATCAATCTATTGTTTCAACTGTCTTGACAAGCACCATATAATTTCTTAGAACAAAAATTACACTAGACCTAGTTAGTGCTACAGAAATATTTATATTTAACCAAGTATCTCATGCAACATCACTATATTTCAGGCTTTCAAAATTATTACTAAAAGTATTAGTGAACCATGTTTATCAATTTAGGCCATTTTTTAAATTAAATAAAAATTCTGAGTGTGCATTAGCTGTCCAACCCTGTGATCACACATTCGTAGCTATTAGTTGAAGGAGCAAATATCACTTATATTGCTTTTATACACATAAAAACAGAGGGACAGAAGCACAGCTAATGAGTATACTGGGTGAATAAGGGAAAGCTTCTAAAGAAAAACTATTTAAATTGGAGTATAAGCAGGAGTTTTCCAGGTCTATGGGGTAAGAGGAAGAGAGAGGGCGGAATGGTAGAGCAACACCACTCTAATTTAAATATAGAAAAAAGAAAATGAAACATGAAAAAGACTTAGCAAGTCCTAAAAAATGAGTAGTTCAATGCTACAGAAGCATAGGGCTTGAACACACTGGAAAAAAGGAGGGAGCTGGTGGCAATGTAAAGACCATAAAGACTAAAGACTCTAGGATCTGAATGCAAATACTTTTACATGACAAACTAAAGAGTTAAGATTGGATGTGACTGTATGAGCCATAGAGAATGTACAGTTTTTCCAGTAAGAGATATGACATGATTTATTTTATTTTGTAGGAAAATGACACTGGCAGCAACTTTGATCTTGGGTAGCAATGAGGAAAGACTAATGGCAGAGACCAATCAGCTACTCTGCAAATCAGAAGATAACCAAAAGTAATGACAGTGAGGATGAAGAGAAACCAGATGAAGAGAATCAGTGATAAAAGCCAGAGGCCAACATGCCTACTTTTTAAAAATGTCCCTCATATGTGATTATTTTCCCTTTTCCATATTCTTCGATATAGTTGTATCCTTTGCATGGAAAAAGTTTAAGCAGTAAGACTGTCAAAACTGAAGGCCTTTATTGTTTCTCTTCCCATGGTATTAGGATGGAAAACACATTAGAAATGCAGTAATTCAGAGTCAAGAGACCTGGATTTCAGGTTGTCTCTGCTTTGAGACTGTGGGCCTAACAATTAGCTTCTAAAAGCTTTGATTTTCTCATTTGTAAAAAGAGGAAATTAGACAAGATGATCTGAAACTCTTTAAAGTTCTAAAGTGCTACGATTGTACTGATACGTCTTTAATTTTCAGGTCTCCAAAAAAAATTGCAAATACAATCATCTATTTAACTACCAACCAAATGTGAAAAATCCATCAAAACCAGGCAAACACTATTCTATTATTTACCTACTACATTTATTTGTAAAAGGTTTCATGGCATACATTAAGACATATACTGTAGTCATCAACTACTCATCTGAAACCTTAACTCTGTAAGACTTCTCTGATAGCCATTTCACTTTCAATTACTAAGTATCTTTCAAATACATCTCCAAAAAGGAGCATTCTTTTATTGGAGTGGTTCAAAAGACTAAATGAATGTCTGCAAAGTTGAATAGTAGTATTGTTGGGTACAAGTTTTCAGACATAACACTATCCTATGGAATCATGTTTGTCTGAACCTCTTACTGACAAAGAACTTTTTAACAATATTCCTTTATCAATCAAAACAAAAAGTGTTTTAAACTTGAGAAATGTGGTCTCAAGATTTGTAACCATAAACTAAAGTGTGACTTTTTACTAATGTTAAAAGAAAAACTGTATTACAAATTATTCTCATACTAAAACATATAGAAATATTCTGAAATTGTTTCTTTTCAAGAATAACATTTAAGCCTGGTTTTTAAAAAAAACACATATAGTTTGGTGAAAGGATTCTCTTTCTTCAAAACAAAAAGATGGAACAAATAACATTTAGAGGTGAAAACCCCAGATGTAAATCTTGCATTTTGCAGCCTGTTCTAAATTTATGGAGCATAATTAATATAGTCTAAGTTAAAATTACATATTTCAAAGGAAATAACATTCTAAGGTTTTGTAAACTGTAATATTAAACTATAAATAAAGGTTTTTCTAATGATGTTTTATGTTACACTAGTTCTCAGTGTTTCTTCTAAAGACCTGAACAATTTATTGGTTATACAGTATACTACGCTATAAATATACACACTAGAGTACTTTCTCTTTAAGGTATCCATGTGATTTTTCTTGCTTCCTAAAATAGAACTATACATTTTTCTGAGTTAACCAAAATAAATTCTGGAAAGAGCTGAACTGTTATTTACCATGATGAGAGTGTAAAATCCTTTACTATGCAAATCTGTATTACAGCTTAAAATATCACGCATTTTTTCTTTCAAACTGCTGGTTAACAATGAACATCAAAATGAACCTGCCATAACCCACAAGAGATGTGGATGTTTAGCTTAAATTTCAACTAGATCTTTGGTCCAAGAAAAAAATCCTTTACTTTGACTTTTCTTACATGTAATAAATAGTGGTTAAAAACTAATGCTTTCAAAAAATAAAAATAAAATGAAAACTAACGCTTTCAGATCCTGAAAGTTTTCTTAAAAGCATATTTTGAAGATACACAAACTGATCTTTAGTAAAGAATCTCCATTAATCCTAGTCAAACAAATTTCACGCAAGAAGAAAGTGTATTCGACTCAATAACTTTATTAGAAGGGGAAAATATTTTAAAAGAACTAATAGAAGCAGGAATTAAGTTATCTGTTTTTTGTTGTAGCTCATGCTATTCAAGTACAATTCAGAAGCAGAATTTTTAACTTTTCTTAAAAGTTGCCTGCTATTTTAACCAAAAAAAAATCTAAAAAAAAAAAACTTTAAAATTTCCAGATCAAGTAGATTACAAAGTTAGCATGAGGAGTATGAAAAACAGCACATCTGATTTGTTTTGCAATGTCTATGTCCAATTAGGAAAATTAGATGCATTTTCCCAAAATGATTCTAATTAAGATTCCCACAGAACAACGGTATAACAAGTAAAGTGGATCATCCAAAAGCAAAATACATGTCAATTACAGTACCTCAAGGACACCTGGCCATTAAACTAAAAGAATCCTGGGGGTGGGGGGTGGAGCTTACGAACAACTGAATACTATGGGGCCTGTTCAGTTATAACAAGAGAAAAATTATTTACTATCTAAAGTACCTTATAATTTTCACGTTTTATGATAAAGCAGTTTATAAGGTGTGCTTTTTCGTTCCCTGTAGGTAACCAAGCACACACCTGCACACTACCTAGAGTCCACCTACCAACCATTCCAGTTACAAGGTGCACAGAGCGACAAGCAGCACTTCAACCTTACTGATGTCATTGTGACTGACAGCTTATTCAGAGCCTAAAAAAAAAACTCTTCCATAGAGTCTGACCAAGTTTAAGGCAACGAGGGGCAGGCTCAGATGTTCCCAGGAGCTCTGGTTCGAGGGGAGGGGAATTCTTGCTAGGATGGGGCAATGAGGGGACTGAAACCCACCCTTTGCAGTTAGGGAGCAGGGTCCTGTCCTGCAGTGAGTGCAAGCCCGCAAGCACTGCGGGACCAAGGAGAGGAGATCTCAAAAGGTACATTGTCCAGCTCGCCTTCTCCTAAGAGAACAATAAGCATGGGCTTCCTAAGGGGGGGTTCCTTCAGTTCCCCCCTCAACTCCCAGGAAGACAAAGGTTTGGGCCCAGATCTCTGTCACTCCGCATTCCGTTCTGGATCGTGGGGACTCGAAAACCCCAGCACGCAGCCATTTGGCCGAGGACGGGGCGGAGGACTTCAGGGTCCCCGCGGTGGGAGGGGATGAGTTACCAGACAACTAATTAGACGAACTCTTCCTACATTCTGCGGGCAGAATGCGGTGCACGTCTCAGGAGATCCTACCTTCGGAGGAAGGTGCAGAACCCAGGATGTGAGAAAGCAAAAATCAGGGTAGAGGGGGATCGAGAAATCGCCAGGAAACCACAAGGAGGAACTACGCGGTAGGGCCCACGGGCTGGCCGACCCCACGGGCGGAGGTGCCCGGCGGGTCGGACCCGACGGGCTGGCTCTCCGCGACGTTTCAAACCGCCGCCGCCCCCGGAAGGCGCCCAGCCGATTGGAAGTTCCAGCACCGCCGTCACCAGCCCGAGGGCCCGAGCGGCAACTCGTCGGCGGGGCTCTCAGCCCTCCGCGTCTCCCCCCAGGAGACCCGACCCCACAAACTCCACTCCGATCGGGAGCCCAGCTCGCGTCCCGCCGCCCGCTCCCCGCACCCGGAAACCTCCCTCCGGGACGGGACCGACGCCCCAGACCGAGCGGCGCCGCGAGAGTTCGAGGGGCGCGACGGGGCCGCACGGGGGGCGGATGGGGAGGGGGACGAGCAGAACCCGCGTCCCTCCGAGTCCGTCCCAGGACGCGGCGTCGAGATCACCCCCGCCTCGCCCCCCTCGGGCACGGCCCCGCCGGGCTCCGACCCACACCCATCCCCGCGCGCGCGGGCGGGCGGGCGGGCAGGGCGAGGACCCGAGCCAGCCCACTCCCCCGCCCCAGCTCTTACCCATCTTTCCGCCTCGCCTTGTAGACGTGCCCGTAGGTGCCGCGTCCCACTTTGCACCCTTCGTACTCAAACAAATCCTCCACCCGCTCCCGCTCCGCCGCCAGCTTCGCCTTGAAGTCATAATCCATTGTCTGCTTCCCCCATAGAGGCACCGGGACGCGGGGGCCGCCGCTCAGTCCCTCCTCCTCCTCCTCCTCCTCCTCCCCCCCGCGGCCGCCGCTCCACTTCGCCAACAGCCGCCAGCCGGGCGCGCGCACACGCGCGCGACACCCGCCGCCCCGCGGGCCGCCTTCAGCAGGGGATTCCTCGGCGGTCCCCGCAGCCACCTCCTCCTCCTTCTCCTCCTCCTCCGCGGCGGTGGCGGCAGCTCCAGCAAACACCCCCAGTCCCGCCTCCCCCCTTCATTTCCTTGTTTTGGAACCTGGTGGGCTGCGCCGCGGCTTCCTCGGGCTCATTAACAAACCAGCCCTCCCGCCCCCCGATGTCGCGGAGGCTCTTGGGAAATGTAGTTCGGGCAGCCCCGGGAGCACCTGAGTTTCAGCAGCATAAGAAAATACAACTCCCAAGTTGCATTGCGTCACTACAGCCTCGCCCCCCCCCCCACGAGGCATGCACGCCTGCGCACTGGAATTGTCCCACCCCCCTCAGGTAACCCTGGACTGCCAGTTCCTGTGAAGGCAAAAAAGTGCAAAGTTGCAATTCTTCTTTCTTCAAGTCTATATGGGAGCTGGTGGGAAGGAGGCCTCAGCTCTGGTACGAGGAAGGGACTTCAGTATAATAACTGTCCCGGGGCGAGGAGAGTAGGAAGCATTTAACAAACGCCTTGTGCAGGAGTTTGTTCCAGGGGTTTGAGAGGCGAGGGCTGCGGTTACAACAGTTGTAGCGCAGATTGTATTCTGTGGCCATTGGTCCGCCTGTTGCCCCGGCCGGCTGCTCATTGGCGGAGACTGCAGCATGACGTCCTCGTCGGTGCTTGGGTATCCCCAGGCTTTGGCTTCTTTCCTGCTCTTGATTGGTAAATGAATGTGCTGAGTTCTTCCTGATAGGTTAATTTTTTTTTCTCGACGATGCAAAAACCGTATTTCAAAAACTGAACATTACGCTGTTTCCTAAGTTCTAGCACCGGTCTGAGAAGAGCGAGTGACTTCTGAGCCCTAGCAGCCAATCCTCCTTTTCTTGACCTTCTGGTTATGGTCTCCACCTAACATTTGAGTTTCCAGTAGCTGAGCTTGTTTGGGTCATCTGTCTGAGGACAATTAAAGTTTTTGGAGGATGCAGCGTTTTAAAAACAATCATTTGAGTTGGGTTGCAAAGGTGTTTTTTACGGTGTACGCATAATGCTGACGTTCTAGAATGTTTAAGGAAGTCTCTTTAATCCAGGTGAACCCAAATTCATTTCATTTTTGCGTGCATAACATGTCAGGTGATTGGAATACAATCTTAAACATGATCGATGCTAGGATGGGACTTACATGCTACATTCTGTGGAAACACAAAGGAGGGAATGGCCGAGTTTATCTGAAATAGTAAGGAAAGTGAACAGTGTCCTGTCCGCTAGGTTCTGTAAGAAACTTAGACACCTAGAGAGAGGAGGGAGGAGGATGGTTTATTTACTACAACAGTAGTAAGTTCCCCGAGAAACTTCCTCAGATCTTGAAGTAAATCAGGAAGTATTTGAGTTTCTCTTATTCCCAGGCACTAAGATAAGCGCTGGAGATACTAGATGAAAACTGATCTTTTCCCAACTGGGAACCCAAACGTATTGGAGGAGGAAAAAGAAGGAAAGAGAAGGGGAAGGGGTGGGGAAAGGAGAAGAAGGGAGAGAGGGGGTAGGGAGGAAACTAAGAAGAGACTGGACGGATAAGCAGAAGTCAAATTACGAAAGAGCTATAAACGAGTATATCAAGCAGAAGTTTTAGATTTCAGCATTCTGTAGGCAATAGGAAGCTACTAAGCTAAGACTTTTGAGCTAAGGCGTGGTGTAACCAATGTTATGTATTCAAAAAAAATCCTTCTGACAACAGTATTTGAGATAGATTGGGGGGAGATAAAAACAGTAAAAAGCTATTGCATAATACTGGTAAAAATACAAGGATCTGAACCATGGATTGACAGTGCTGATTATGAGGGGTGGAAAGCAGATACCGGAATTCTTTGTGAACAAGGTTCAAGAAGACCTAGTGATTAATTAAATATGGGGATTAAGAAGACAATAATCCAATATGAGAAAATAAAAGAATAGGAGCAATTTATAAGAGAAAGATGATGAGTTTGCCTGGGACATGTTGAATTTGAAATGCCTGTGAGGTATCAAGATAGAAATAACAAGTAAGCAGATGAGTATTTTTACCTGCTAATAGGAAGTCTGACCTAAATGTACGGATATGAAAATCATCAGTGTATGATGGTGGAGTGTGGAGAATATTTTTTGGTTGGATGCTATTTTTTTAATTGATTTCAGAGAGAAAGGGAGAGGGAGAGAGAGAGAAGGAGAAACATCAATGATGAGAGAGAATCATTGATTGGCTGCGTCCTGTGTGCACCCCTCCTCACCCCTGCCCACTGGGGATTGACACCACAACCCAGGCATGTGCCCATGACCAGAATTCAACCCAGGACTCTTCAGTCCATAGGCCAATGCTCTATCCACTGAGACAAACAAGCTAGGGATGGTTGGTTGCTATTTTAAAATAGGAATTTTGCATTCATTTATCTTCAAAACATTCCTATTAGGTCTGCTGTATTATTCCTGTTTTACATTTGAACAAACTGAAACAGCTAGTAAATTGCAGAGCCAGATCTTAATGAATATACTTGAAAGTAAATGGAAAGTGGTGGCCCTAACCAGTTTGGCTCAGCGGCTCCCCAAGTTCACTTCTGGTCAAGGGCAACCTTGGTTGCAGGCTTCATCCCCGACCCTAGTTGGGGCAAAGAAAGGCAACCAATTAATGTGTCTCTCTCACATCGATGTTTCTCTATCTCCAGCTCCCTCCACTCTCTCTAAAAAAAAAAAAAACTAAAAAAAAAAAAAAACAATGGAAAAATATCCTTGGGTGAGGATTAACCAAAACAAAAAAAAAAGAAAAGAAAAAAGAAAGAAAGAAAGAAAAAAGAAATAGAAAGTAGACCATTATGTTAGTGAAAAATAAAATATAATTATGAAAAGCTTTACTAAAAAAAAATTAGACCATATCCTGTGTTATCGAGGATATGGGAAAACAAGATACTCTCCTACATTGCCTATAGAAGTAAACATTTGAAAAATACATACCAATGTTATACATTGAATTTTGACCTTAATAGCATCTATCAAAATTGCATAGTAGTATCCTATAGTTAGACTCCTGTGGTGGAAACTGTGATGTGCCTCCCAGATCCCCGTTCAGGACTAAAGGATGTATACCTCCAAGCTGCTGGGAGCCGTGCTACAGACAGCCCTCAGCTGTCAGTCCTCTTCAGGGATTGCCTTAGCCACCTCACCTAAGTCATGCCATTTCCCCAAAGCAGCGATTTTCAGCCTTTTTCATCTCATGACACACATAAACCAATTTCTAAAATTCTGTGGCACACCAAAAAATATATTTTTGGCCATTCTGACCAAAAAAAAAAAAGTATAATTTTTGTCCATATCAGACAACTATTGTGTTGACTGGTTGTCAACTTTTTATCTGACAGTTTAAGGGAAAAGTGGTAAATGCCCCTAACTAAATAGCATCTTTTAAAAACTTCTGCAACACACCGGTGTGCCTTTTGTGGCACACCAGTATGCTGTGGCACACTGGTTGAAAAATTGCTGTATTAGAGCAACTTATATCCAATGGCTGATCATCAATTCAGAGATATAAAGGCCCAGACCTCTCACCCCACGTCAGGACAACTCTGATGAGTCATCCTATCATCAGAACTCTTTGTGGGGTTCACTGAGGCCATCACTGAGAATGTGTTGCAGACCAACTTTTCAATCTCCCCCATTCTGCTTTCTTCCTTTCCCCTCCAGAAGTACCGATCACAGTTTATTAACACTCTAACAAACTGATTAGATGTTAATTTCTATCTCAGGGTCTGTTTCCCTAGGAGCCCAACTTATAATATTCCCCACATGTGCAAGATGATGTAATTCAAGGTATTCACTGAGCATTGTTTCAAATACCCTGTTTCCCCAAAAATAAGACAGTGTCTTATATTAATTTTTTCTCCCAAAGTTGTGCTAGGTCTTATTTTCAGGGGATGTCTTATCTTTCCATGCGCTAGGTCTTATTTTCGGAGGATGTCTTATTTTCGGGGAAACACGGTAGGAAAGGACTGGAAACAACAGAAGTATTCATTAGAGGGGGACCGGACAAATAAATTATGGCCAATCTGTGAATGAATGATTATGCAGCCCTGACAATAATGTGAAATTTGTAAAATATGCCTCTTGGATCTTCTTCCTGAAGGGAGGCCCCGCTACTAAGCTCTGAATCTACCACAGCATTTGCAGTGAGGCCGTATTCCCCATGAGCTACTCCAAGCCTATGACTGAGCATAGACTTCGCTTAGTTATTCTGGTGATTGTTCTGTAATTTAGTTATAATTCCTGTTTGGTCCTGTGATGGGGTGAGTGTAGTTTCCACCTACTCTGCTGCCATCTTGCATCTCCAGATGCTTTTTTATTAAAAATAAAAAACAATCTGTCTCAGATAGCACCAAACACCCTGAAATCCCAGATTAGGCTTTCTTATTTGTATTTTTCTTTTAATAAAGGAGAGTCTAACTGCCAAGAATATTATTAGACATTCTGTCTTTATCTCTTAGCTAAATCTTTTAGCTTTATCTTTTACCCTGGCAAAAATAGATCATGGTAGATTAATATGATTCTTAAAAATTAACCTAGTAGCCAGTACCCGTTTGGCTCAGTGGATAGAGCGTCATCTACAGACTGAAAGATCTCAGGTTCGATTCCGGTCAAGGGCATGTACATTGGTTGTGGGCACACCCCTAGTAGGGGGTGTGCAGGAGACAGCTGGTCAATGTTTCTCTCTCATTGATGTTTCTAACTCTCTATCCCTCTCCCTTCCTCTCTGTAAAAAATCAATAAAATATATATATTTTTTTTAAAAAAATTAACCTAGTATTCTCTGTAGATATA